GCAAAAGTAAGGATTCTGCAAGAACTCTGTCCCCTCTTAAAGAGACAGACTATTTTGCAGGCTTTTTTTTTTTTTTTGCTTGCCAAATTTTACCCTTGGAACCCTAGGGGATCCTCGAAATGATTTTAAGCTGAAAAGGGTTCCGTGGCCAAATAAAATCAGGAAACACTGCAAGGTGCAAAAGGGCTTAAAAAGAAGTGGGAGAAAGTGGAGTGGGAAAACTATTCACTCTTTTCTCCACTGTTTTTATTTTTTTTTAAAAGCAAACACACATACATCCCAACCATCACCTCTTTTTCTGACTTAACAGAAAGGCGGGATTACCTACAAGTGGGATTTCTCCTACAATTTTGCACTGGAAAAAATAATTTTTTTTCCTCCTTACAAGGCACTGGGAAAAAAAAAAAAAAAAAAAAAGAAGAAGGGAATGAATTGTTTTGGTGAAGAACGTCATCCAAAGCTTATTCTTCATTTGAAAACTAAAAATAGAACCGTGGTTGAATTTGCAGGACTTGACTCTGCAGTTCACCGAAATAATTGAGCTCACTCCAGCTTGCAAAATTGTGAGTGGGAATTTGTATTGGCCGACTCATAACCGGAGGGGAAAACAAGTGGGTGTGGTGCATGACTCTTGCCAGAGCTACAGCAAAAGCTAACAGGGGACTAGTTAAAGAGCCATCAGAGACCTGAGTTCCAGTAGGACTTAGTACATATAAAAGCACTTGTAAAAAACTTTTCCGTAACTTTCGCCACTGCTCACAGCCTTACCTCACACTTCCCACATGACTGTTTTTAAATACTCACTGACCCAGAGCAGAGGGTAGAGAAGCAACTGTTGGAGGTGGAGCATGGATAAAACCAACCCCCAACCAAATGTAATAGTCACCCTTCCCCCCACAGAGCTATTGGGAAAACCCCCTCGGTTTACCCTGAAATTCTCCCTCCCGCACAGAAAGGACAGCTGTGGAAGACAAAGCCATCAGCTTCCTGATCTAGATCAGCAAGGTTGATGTCCATGTATTATGGTAACACCCTAGAAGCCCTTCCTCTAGTTCTCACAACCAGTGCTATTTTTTGTTTAAAAAAAACCCAAAACAAGCAAACCCACGGCCTCAGAGGGAAAAAAAACCCTTTTCAGTTTCTGCAAGCAATTTTAATGCAGCTTTCTGCCCCGCAGTTTCTTGTGATCAAAAAGCTTTTTTTCATAACAACATAAGCTGTTCCTGTCGATTTTCGCCAAAATAGGTTATTTCATTGTTTACACATTCTTTAGACATTTTCATTCCTGCCTTCTTTTCTACTCATAAGAACATAAGAACGGCCGTACTGGGTCAGACCAAAGGTCCATCTAGCCCAGTATCCTGTCTGCCGACAGTGGCCAGCACCAGGTGCCCCAGAGAGGGTGGACCGAAGACAATGATCAAGCGATTTGTCTCCTGCCATCCCTCTCCAGCCTCTGACAAACAGAGGCCAAGGACACCATTTTATCCCCTGGCTAATCGCCTTTTATGGACCTAACCTCCATGAAATTATCTAGCTTCTCTTTAAACTCTATTATAGTCCTAGCCTTCACCACCTCCTCTGGCAAGGAGTTCCACAGGTTGACAACACGCTGTGTGAAGAAGAACTTTCTTTTATTCGTTTTAAACCTGCTCCCCATTAATTTCATTTGGTGTCCTCTAGTTCTTCTCTTTAGGGAACTAATAAATAACTTTTCTTTATCGGCCCTCTCCACACCACAAACTCCCAACAAGAGTCCCAATTTTTTGACAGGCCGTATAGCAAACCTTCTTATTTCAAAAATGTAGCCAGTTGTACTTCTTGCAAAAGTCATTTTTTGGATTGACAGCTAAGCAGCTAGGCCAGTCGTTGTCAGCTTGCTCTTGGACACCAGTTGAACCAGAACGAGAAACGGTCACTGACACAGTTAATTCTTTCTCTTCACTCACTGCGTCATTTGTTCTGGCTTTCTTATTCATGGAAGGTGAAAAGAAACTTGGCATCCTTTTCATTTTTACGTTGGGGTTCAAGACACAGTAAACTAAAAAATACATGTGTACTCGCTGTGGCATTTCCGGCTCCACGTTGGAAGTCACATGACATGCCTATATTGTGCGCTGGAAGGGTGGAAGTCACATGACATGCCTATATTGTACGCTGTCGTGTAAACTACAGGGTTTTTTGTTTTTTTTTCGAAAAAATGCCCTTTTTTAGAAAAAACTTCCCCTGCGTCTAGACTGCTGCCGTATTCTTTTGAAAGGAAATCGAAAGAATGTGGTGGTTTTGTTGACTGAGGAAAACCTCGTTTTGTGAGGAATAACGCCTTTTTTTGAAACTGCTCTTTCGAAAAAAGGCGCTATGTAATGCAAACTGTGCTTTTCCGAAAGAGAGCATCCAGACTGCCTGGGTGCTCTCTTTCGACACCACCCCGAAGAGAGGCCGTCCCCTGCATTTCCACGCTCTTGGTGCTGCGTCAGTCCGTACGGCAGGGGTGGAGGGAATTTCGGTGTGTATGGCAGAGTGGCTCCCAGTTCCCACAGGAAAGCCGAGGGAATTTCACACCAGATGAACCACCACGTCACCACTTGTTCCTCCTCTCGCCATGGCAAGGTGCAAGGAGCCGTGTCCACCCAGGCGACATCAGACTTGTGCACTCTCCTACCCCCACTAGCAGCCTGCGCCCTGGTTTAATTTGTCCCCCGCCATCGACTCTCCCACTGCGTTGGACCTCCCATTCCTGCACAGCCTCAAACCTCCTCCTCCCTCTTTCATGGACCAGGCACCTCCGCCCCTGCAGTGGGACCCTGCCAAGCCATATCCCCAGAGGGCCTAGCCCTGATTTATTCCCTTCACCACAACCAATCCTGAAGACATCCCGGCCTTTCTGTCTTCCATCCCTCCAGGTTACGGAGCTCTGTGGTAGGGTTGCCAGGCGTCTGGTTTTGAACCGAACAGTCCAGTATTTGAGCTTTCTGTTCGGGAAACTAATGGAGAAAATAGAACTGAGAAAATAGAACTGTCCGGTATTTTCTAATTAAGATGGAATGTCGATGGTGATGTCATGTCAAGTGTGTCTGGTATTGTCTAACTAAGACGGAATGTCGATGGTGATGTCATGTCAAGTGTGTCTGGTATTGTCTAACTAAGACGGAATGTCTATTGTGATGTCATATCAAGTGTGTCTGGTATTGGTAAACTAAGATGGAATGTCGATGGTGATGTCATGTCAAGTGTGTCTGGTATTGTCTAACTAAGACGGAATGTCTATTGTGATGTCATATCAAGTGTGTCTGGTATTGGTAAACTAAGATGGAATGTCGATGGTGATGTCATGTCAAGTGTGTCCGGTATTTTTGTTGAAACCATCTGGCAACCCTACCCCCAGGGCCAGAGAATGGCAATGGATTCCCCCCTGCATTGCATGTGGCTAGGAGGGAAGGGGACAAGATGGCTGACTTTTTAAAAGACCACAGTGTAGAGCTGGCTGGAAATTCAACTCAGGGGTTTATTTAAAAAAAAATTTTAAATGGCTTTTTGAAGAAAAGAACTTTTCTGTGAAGTTTTCCCAGAAAAGCAATACTTCCGCCCACACCACTATTGCGTTCTTTCAACCAATAGTAAAAAGAATGGAGAGTTTTTTCCAACAGCAGTAAACCTCATTCCACAAGGAAGAAGCCTTTTTTCAGCAAAAGGCGTGTGTGGATGCGGAAGAGAGTGTTTTTTCGAAAGAAGAGGCAGCCAGGAAAAAGCGCAGGTGCCCTGGTGGCCACTCCACCCACAGCAATCACAACTGAAATGCGAGAGAGCATCTAATCAAATGTGGACGCTATCTTTCGACAAAGCCGATCGCTTTTTTGTTGCGCTTTTGCTGTGCAGACGCTTTCTTTCAAAAAAAGCTTTTCCAGAAGAACTCTTCCGGAAAAGTTTCTTCCGAAAGAAGCCTGCAGTCTAGACGTAACCTAAAGTGTTACACTCGGGTAGCTAGGAGGTGTCGGCAGGGAGCCAGGAGAGCCAATGAGGGAAGGTGTTGAGATTGTAATGGGAAGATTTACCTGCCTGCTGGTTTCCTTTGTGTGAGTTGAAGCCCAGAGTTGGGGGGCCTAGGTGCTGGGTTGAGAAGAAACTCTCTGTAGGAACAGGCCCTGTATGTGAGGAAAAAATTGAACGGGGCCTAGTGAAACTGGGGCCAACAGTTTGGGGGGCTGTTCTGCTTGCTCGTTGGGCCGTCGTGTTTGGCTTTTCGTTTGGTTGGCATTTGGTTTCAGGTAGGTGTCCTGGGAGCAGGTGTAAGCTACACTGTGATGAACTGCTCTTAAACCGGATTAAGCCCGTCCACACAATGCCAGGGAAAGCTGTTCTGGTGTAACGACACCTGCTCGCAAGGTAACACTGGTTCTCCTAGCTGAGGCCTGTTCATAGGGCAGCATTTGGGGACTTGGCTTCTCTAAGGACCAGCCGGGAAGAGCTAATGAAGCTCAGAGCCCACCAGTTCTGTCTTCTCCTTCGTGGCTTTAACCAGCCCGTCAAAGAGGGGATTTCACTGCTGGGGCCTCAAACCTGCTTATGGCAGCAGCTTTCATCTCCCTGCTTTGCCTGCAGCCCAGTGGGGAAGCAGCACCTGGGAGCAGCACCAAGAGGCCAGCGGGGGAAACTGAGGCAGAAGGACCCAGCCCCTCCCCCCCCCATAATTCCTCAGGAGCTATTTAAGTACTTTACTCCTAGGGGGAACCACACCGAAATAGCTTTGAGGCCCTAGGTCACTATCCGGATCTTATAAAGAGGGCTCCGTGGGTGGCATGTGGGTCGGTCCTTGTAGGTTCGAGACCCTACGTTCCAGCTGAGCATTTACTCTAATTCTTGGCGCTGTGCATTATACCTAGGGCCTGTTTTCCCTCTCGGCCCTGCAGTAAAAGATGCCCCCAACCCAGCCCCCCAGACACTCAATTTGCATCCCCCCCATCCAAACGGCAAAAGCGGGTATAAAGCCAGAGCACTCGAACCGCTGTCGATCCACAGGGCGTCCTTCTGGCAAACCCATCTGTATTCCCCGCTGCAGGTTTCCGACCGGATCGAGCTCCCTTTGGTCACCCCGCAGCTGTTCTTTTCGGCAGAGCCTTTCACGGGGAACCTGCCGGGCCAAGGGAAGAGTCATTGGTCGCCCTCCTGGCATGCAAGGCGTCTTGTTAATGCAGGGCTGGTGTGCGTGGCTAGACCCAGACGAGTATTGACCATTGGAGCACAAAGCATGTGAAAATAATCAAGACAACCCACATGGAGTCCTGGCACGGTCTCATAAGAGCGGCCACACTGGTAAGACCAAGGGTCCATCTAGCCCAGTCTCCTGTCTGCTGACAGGGGCCAATTCCAGGTGTTCCAGAGGGAGTGAACAGAACAGGGAATCCTCAAATGATCCCTCCCAAATCACCTATTTCCAGCTTCTGACCATTAGAGGCTTGGGGGCACCATTCCTACCCATCCTAGCTAATAGTCATTGACCTCCATGAATTTATCCAGTTCTTTTTTGAACCCTGCTACAGTCTTGGCCTTCACAACATCCTCTGGCAAGGAGTTCCACAGGTTGACTGTGCTCTGTGTAAAGAAAAACTTCCTTTTGTTTGTTTTAAACCTGCTACCTATTCATTTCATTGGGTGACCCCTAGGTCTCGTGTTATGAGAACAAAATTTCCTTATTTACTATCTCCACGGAGGTCATGATTTTGTAGACCTCGGTCAGATCCCTCCTCGGAGTCATCTTTTTTCCAAAATGAAAAGTCCCAGTCTTAATCTCTCCTCATACAGAAGAGCTGTTCCATGTTCCTCGTCATTTTTGTTCCCCCTTCCAGCGTCTCTTCTGAGGAAGAAGCACAGAGAACAGCAGCATGGGGGGGCTTCACTCAGAAAGCTCTCCCTATGGATGCTGCATTTCGGGCTTCCAGCGAGTTAGGGTCTAGGCATATCATCTTCAAAAGGCACCTAAGGGATTTGGGTGCCTACGTCCCATTGGCTGTCAGACAGTAAGTGCCCAAATCACTTGGTGCGTTTTGGAAACTGTGCCCTAGAATTTCAAAACCCTGTGGGATTTTGGGGCACCGATGTCTGATCCTGTGGATCGGCACCTCCCCGCAACTGGGCCCTTTCGGGCCATCTCAGCTGGGCACCTGGAAGTCACTAGTCACTACTGAAAGTCTTGGCCTCAGATTATAAAGATAGGCCGCTCTCTGCCTAATTCAGCAACTCCCCGGAAAAGCAACTCACAGCGTCTGATTTAACAAGGATCCATCCAGCCAGGTCCACGTCCTATGGGGCCCGTTGGCACTGAGTCCCATCCAGACCAGGTACTTCTCCTGAACACTGCTGCCTATGAATTCCTAGAAGCAGGAGAGGGACATGAGGGGGGAAAGACAGCCCGCTGTGACTCCCAGCTGGATTTATAATCTATTCACATTCTCCGTTGGATGAGCAGGACATGCAACACCCAGCCACCAGTGGGTTTCCACTAGCACCTCATGTTAGATCTTTAGGATTGTGTCTACACAGTGCCCTAAACTAAAAGTAAGATACACAATTTGCGCTATGCAATTTGCATATCTTATTTCAATTCTATTTCTCAATAGATTATTCAGAAGAATGGCGCATCTACACAGCACCAAATTTCAAAATAATGTGTTATTTTGAGACATCCCTTCACCCTTGTGGAACAAGGGTTACAGGGATGCTGAAATAACATGCCCATTATTTTGAAAAATATTTCGAAACAATGGGCGCCTTGTTAAGACGTGGGGTAGCTCTTTTGGATACCTCCGATATCCCAAAATAGACATTCAGTTTAGATGTACCCTAAGGCTACGTCTAGACTGGCCCCTACTCCGGAAAAGGCATGCAAAGCAGGCAAGTCAGAATAGGGAAATCCACGGGGGATTTAAATATCCCCCGCGGGATTTAAATAAACATGGCCGCCGCTTTTTTTCCGGCTTGGGGAAAAGCCGGAAAAGAGCGTCTAGACTGGCGCGATCCTCCGGAATAAAGCCCTTTTCTGGAGGATCTCTTATTCCACTTACAAATCTAGACATAGCCTAAGGGTGTGTCTACACAGAACGGCTTAACTCCAAATAAGTGACGCAAACTGAGCTACGTCAATTGCATAGCTTATTTTGAAATAGCTTCTTTCGAAATTGGGAGCATCTACACGGCACTTATTTCGAAACAGAGCACCCTCCCTCCGACTTCCCTTTCTCCTCGTACACTGAGGCTACGTCTACACTGGCATGATTTTCCGGAAATGCTTTTAACGGAAAAGTTTTCCGTTAAAAGCATTTTCGGAAAAATCACTTCTAGATTGGCAGGACGCTTTTCCGCAAAAGCCATTTTTGCAATCGGGGCTTTTTTGCGGAAAACAGTACTATGCTGTTTACACTGGCCCTCTTGCACAAATGTTTTGTGCAAGAGGGCTTTTGCCCGAACGGGAGCCGCACCGTATTTCCGCAAGAACACTGACGATCTTACATGAGATCGTCAGTGTTCTTGCGGAAATTCAAACGGCCAGTGTAGACAGCTGGCAAGTTTTCCACAAAATCAAATGATTTTGCGGAAAAACTTGCCAGTCTAGACACAGCCTGAGGGTAACAGGAGTCGGAGTAAGACGTTCTCCAGCTTGACAGTATTTCGACACTATTTCGAAATAACGGCCAGCTGTGTAGACACGGACTAGCTCCCCCACCCTCCATTCTCCCCTCCCGCATTCAGGATTCGGTGCTTCAGCCCCAAATTTGAAAATATTTATAGGAGCTCCATTCTAGACAGCTGTGGTTGAACGTAAGCCCTGCTGAGCTGTGTAGCTCCAAATGCTTTAAAGAGGAAGAGGATTTAAAACCATAGCTGTGTCTACACTGGCAAGTTATTCCGGAAAATCAGCCGCTTTTCCGGAAAAACTTGCCAGCTGTCTACACTGGCCGCTTGAATTTCTGCAAAAGCACTGATGATCTAATGTAAAATCATCAGTGCTTTTCTGGAAAAACTATGCTGCTCCCGTTCGGGCAAAAGTCTTTTTCCAGAAACCTGTTCTGGAAAAGGGCCAGTGTAGACAGTACAGTAGTCTGTGTTTTTCCCTTGGGCTTTTGACGGCCTGGGGATTTGGTCGGGTTTGCTGTATCAACCTGTAGCTCTCCATTGTTCAGAGATCTTGGGGCTGTTTAGGCCTTTTTTTCCCCCTGGCAACAGGAGAGAGAAGCTTTAAATCAACAGGCAGGAAAAACAGGAGTGGACACCTACACAGATTGGCAGAGGAATTTAGGTGGGACCAGTCCTATGATAATACTAAGCACATGGATAAGTGACAAATTGGGGACAGAATCCAACAGAGCAGTTGAAAACCCAACAAAGGAGGAAGCACATCGCCAAACCGCGAACGGTGGTTATTTGCTGGTCTTTGTGTTAAAAAACATTAGAGAGGCCAGACTGCACTAGCCCAAAGGTCCAACTAGCCCAAGATCCTGTCTTCTGACAGTGGCCAATGCCAGGTGCCCCAGAAGGAGTGAACAGACCAGGGAACCATCCAATGATTCTTCCCCTGACGCCCATTCCCAGCTTCTGGCAAACTGAGGCTAGGGGCACCATCCCTGCCCATCCTGGCTAATAGCCATCCTCCATGAATTTATCTAGTTCTTTTTTTAACCCTGTAACAGTTTGGGCCTGCACAACATCCTCCCGCAAGGAGTTCCACAGGTTAACTGTGTGTTGGGTGAAGAAGTAGAAGTATGAAGAAGGTCCGTAGGGCAATTTTATCATTTTTAAAAATCAGCTTAGAAAGGATATTCATTGACACCTCTACCTTTCCAGGGGAAGATTAACACACCCCCTCTGCCCGTTTCACACTTTACCATCTCATCCAGCTTCTGAATCACCACCAGGCGAGAGCTCTTCGCTGAGCAGTCCTCACGGCTCCTGTTCCAGATTTTACTCTCTGTGGAAAACCAGTAGCACTTGTCACTGTGTGGCAGCCAGTCTGGGGGACAGATTTTGCAGCTGGTGCCTTCTGGAGGAGACAAAACAGTAGACACCGTGAATGGTCCTTGATACAGCTGGATTAGGCACTTACATTGAGAGGCTGCGTGGTGCAGTGGCTTGGACAACAGCAAATCTCTGTTCTGTTACTGGCTGCCCCCTACAGACTTCCTGGGTTTCTTAGGAAAGTCATGTCTCCCTCCCGGGCCTCAGTTACCCCTTTCAAGGCATATCTGATGGCTACGTCTACACTGGCATGATTTTCCGAAAATGCTTTTAACGGAACACTTTTCCGTTAAAAGCATTTTCGGAAAATCATGCCAGTGTAGACGTAGCCATCAGATATGCCTTGAAAGGGGTAACTGAGGCCCGGGAGGGAGACATGACTTTCCTAAGAAACCCAGGAAGTCTGTAGGGGGCAGCCAGTAACAGAACAGAGATTTGCTGTTGTCCAAGCCACTGCACCACGCAGCCTCTCAATGTAAGTGCCTAATCCAGCTGTATCAAGGACCATTCACGGTGTCTACTGTTTTGTCTCCTCCAGAAGGCACCAGCTGCAAAATCTGTCCCCCAGACTGGCTGCCACACAGTGACAAGTGCTACTGGTTTTCCACAGAGAGTAAAATCTGGAACAGGAGCCGTGAGGACTGCACATTGGGAGCTCTTTGGGGGCAAGGCCTGTCTCCCACTGTGTCTGTGCAGCGCTCGGCACAACGGGGCCCTGATCTCAACTGGGGCAGGGACTGTCTCTCGCTGTGTCTGTGCAGCACCCAGCACAATGGGGCCCTGATCTCAGCTGGGGCAGGGACTGTCTCTCGCTGTGTCTGTGCAGCGCCCGGCACAACGGGGCCCTGATCTCAGCTGGGGCAGGGACTGTCTCTCACTGTGTCTGTGCAGCGTCCGGCCCAACGATCCCAGCTGGAAGCGTGAGGCACTAGCAGAACTCCATTGAGGACAGTGGAATGACTCCAGGAACAATCAGCACTTATAAACCACTTACAAACTTTTTTCCAGGAGATGGAGCTAGTACACCATTGGCACCTGCCCTCACGGATGCTATCACCTGCTGTCATGCCCTCAACTACAGGGTAGCCACTAGGTTGGGATGGGCAAAATACAGCCCATGGACTGGATCCAGCCCTCCAAGCCACCAGGTCCGGCCCAGGGCTCAGCAGAAGCCTCAGGCAGGCTCCCCTGTCTGCTCCACCCTCGCATGCCACTCAGAAAAGCCAGAAGCAGGGCCCTGGTTGTCGATGAACAGCTGTGAGCCTGGAGAGAGGGGGGAAGAGAGGCTTCATGCACTGCACCCGCCCCCAGCACAATCTCACAGCTCCCATTGGATGGTTTCCAGCCAATTGAAGCTGCCCCTTTGAAGAACAGGCGGTGTCCGAATTAGGGTTGCCAGGTGTCTGGTTTTCACCTGGACAGTCTGGTATTTGTTGTGTCTGTCCAGTAAAAAAAGCGGAAAATACCGGACATGTAAAATGTCCGGTATTTTCTCTTTTTCTTGGATGGAAGGCCGGTGGGGACGTTCTTTCCCTGACATGTCTAGCAGGGGTGGAAGGAGTGGAGAGTGTGGGGATTTAAAGGTGCAGTGACCTTTTTTTTTTTCCCTCAACAAATTTGGTCCCTTTTTTTTTTTTTTAACTCAACCAATTTTTTCCCCCGGCATGTTCAGGATTTTTTATCTGGCAACCCTACTCTGAACTACCTCTCCCCCTCCCATTGGGCTCGCAGCATTCAGAGCAGCACACATGGCCCCTGCAGCCAGCTGCTCTGAGCAGCCTGGGAGGAGGGGGTCATGGGAGGCAGGGAGCCTGGATGAGGAACCTGCTGGGCTGCTGGCTGGGTGCTACCCAAGTAAGCGCCTCCTCAGAGCCTGCCTCCAGCACCCGCCAACCCTCTGACCTCTCACTCCTCTACCCTATGTACCCCAATCTCTCTGCCCCCCCTCCTGCACATCTACCCCTTCTCAGAGTCTCTCCCCTAATCCAATGCCCCAGGCCACATCCCCCTCCTACCCTAGGTCACAACCCAAACCCCTGCACCCCAGTCCCCTGTCCCACATCACAACTTCCTCCTTCACCCAAACTCCTTCCCAGATCCCACCCCCCCTCCTGTGCCCCAGTCCTTTACCCCAAGCTCCCTTATGCACCCAACCTCCATCCCGGCCCCCGCGCCCCCTTCATTAGTATCATGGAAGACTGTGGCCTTTTACCACTGACAAAATTCCTATCAAAATGATTGCCCGCCCCCTTTCAATCACTGCTCTGCCCCCATCTCTCCAGAGGCCTTTAAACAGAGCTGCCGATGCCAGAGAGAAGCAGCCAGGCGTACCCAGGGAGCTGCTGTTGGGGGGGGCACACAGCTCCTGGCTCAGGCGGGCCACGAGGTGGTTCAGACGGGCGCTGCATTCCTCCCCCGCGTGGACCCCACCCTCTGCGGTGGCGTTCGGCGCTGCACCCAGCAGTCCTGCCGGAGACGAGCCTTGAAAAGAGCCAGGAGAGCCGGGGTAAGAATTTTCACTGGGCAACATGTGAGTGGAGAATGAACTTCAGAGGGAGATCAAGGGGAGAAAAGAAACACGAATTCAGTGGGAGGAGCCAGGATGGGGCACTAGGATTTGTGGGTTCTACCCCCGGCACTAGGAGCGGAGTTAGACTGAGCGGATTAGGGCAGGGAAAACTATCAGGAGCCTAGGGACTGGATGTTGTAACTGACTCATGCTTTGGCCCTGGATATATCACTCTATATAGCTTAACCCTTATTCAGCAAAGGAATAAGAACAATAACCTGGAAGCCAATGTGTAAAGGAGGGTAATTAACCACCGGAGCAAATTGCCAAGGGTCACAGAATCCTAGAACACTAGAACTGGAAGGGATCTCAAGAGGTCATCAAGTCCAGCTCCCTGCACACACGGCAGGACCAAGCCCCATGTAGACCATCCCCTGTCAGGTGTCTGTCCAACCTGCTCTTAAATATCTCCAGGGATGGAGAGTCCACAACCTCCCTGGGCAATTTATTCCAGTGTCTGACCACCCTGACTGTTAGGAACTTTTTCCTAATGTCCAACCTAAACCTCCCTTGCTGCAGTTTAAGCCCATTGCTTCTTGTCCTATCCTCAGAGGCCAAGGAGAACAATTTTTCTCCATCCTCCTTATAACACCCTTTTAGATACTTGACAACTGTTATCATGTCCCCTCTCGGTCTTCTCCTTTCCAAATTAAACAAGCTCAAACAAAATACAGGACTATGTAGCACTTTAAAGACTAACAAAATGGTTTAATAGATGATGAGCTTTCGTGGGCCAGACCCACTTCCTCAGATCAAATAGTGGAAGAAAATAGTTGACTATTTTCTTCCACTATTTGATCTGAGGAAGTGGGTCTGGCCCACGAAAGCTCATCATCTATTAAACCATTTTGTTAGTCTTTAAAGTGCTACATAGTCCTGTATTTTGTTTGAGCTTGTTTAATTTGGAAAGGAGAAGACCGAGAGGGGACATGATAACAGTTGTCAAGTATCTAAAAGGGTGTTATAAGGAGGATGGAGAAAAATTGTTCTCCTTGGCCTCTGAGGATAGGACAAGAAGCAATGGGCTTAAACTGCAGCAAGGGAGGTTTAGGTTGGACATTAGGAAAAAGTTCCTAACAGTCAGGGTGGTCAGACACTGGAATAAATTGCCCAGCTCAGTTTGTGCAAGGTGTGACTACACTGCAGCGTTTTTCCAGAAAAACTGCCATTTTTCTAGCACCGCCATTGACTTCTTTCGACATAAAGTTGAAAGAACGGAGAGGTTTCTCTGATGGCAGTAAACTAAACAAGCCCAATTCTTTCAGCCTTCCCTGTCATTTCATAGAGCACTAGAACTGGAAGGGATCTCTAGAGGTCATTGAGTCCAGTCCCCTGCACACACGGCAGGACCAAGCGCTGTCTAGATCAGTAAATAAGCATGAGATCACTTTTTGAATTTAATTGCAATCCAGGATCTACCTCAAACCCAAATACCCTGGCCCCTCCTCCTTCCCGCCCCTTCTCCGAGACCCCGCCCCTTCTCACTCCGTCCTCCCTCCCCTATCCTCACTCACTTTTATCAGGCTGGAGGCAGGAATTTGGGGTGCTGGAGGGGTTCAGGTCTGGGGCCAGGGAACGGAATGCAGGCTTCAGCTGGGCCCTGCTTACCACAGGTGGCTTCTGGATGGTGGTGCAGGGGGCTAAGGCAGGTTCACCTCTGTCCTTGTCCTGTACCACTTCCAAAAGCAGCCAGCAAACTCTCTCCTTCTGGTCTGTGGAGGTGGGGTTCAGGGTGGAGGAAGCAGCACCCTGAGATCAGCACCCCCCTTCCTCTTCTTCCCATGCCCTGCACAGCAAGCAGGAGGCTCCCACGGGTGTGTGTGTGGGTGGGGGAGACAGCTCCAAGATAGAGGGCAGGAGCAGCATGGCAGTGCTTGACAGTCTCCCGGACAAACCTCTCAGGATCACCTGTCAAAGGCTCCGAGATCTACCAGTCGATCAGGATCTACCACTGGTCTAGACCATCCCTGATAGATGTCTGCCCAACCTGCCCTTAAATATCTCCAGGCATGGAGAGTCTATGGCAGATTCTCCATCCCTGACCATTTTAAGAATCAAGCAGGGATGGTTTTCCCAAGAGATCTGCTCTAGGAATTATGATAGGGGCAGATCTCTGGCCTGTGTTATCCAGGCAGCCAGTCTGGGAACCTAGGAGCCCCTGAAAGCTGGGACGGTTTTCAGGACGCCCACAAAAACAAACCGGATGGGGCCACTTACCCAGAATGCTCAGCGTGAGCGCAGCCAGCGTCGCCACGATGCTCCAGGCCCCCAGAAGGCCGATGATGATTTTATACCCGCAGAGGTTGGCAGGAGAACCTGTGAATGAGGATTTGTACGTCAGCCTCAGTGTCCCCCTGGGCCGTGGAACAAGGAACAGCATCACCCTTTCTAGCACCTCTTTCTGGGTGAAAAACAGAGGCCAGGAGGGACTCGACATGGCTCTCCAGCTCAAACGCCCCTCGGCAGAAGTGCTCACAGCCACGGGGCAAGATGTGACAGAAGATCTTAACATAACGGCCACATTGGGTCAGACCAAAGGTCCATCTCGCCCAGGGTCCTGTTGGCCCACAGTGGCCAACACCAGGTGCCCCAGAGGGAGGGAACAGAACAATCATCAAGCGATCTATTCCCAGCTTCTGGCAAACAGAGGCTAAGGAAACCCTCCCTTCCCATCCTGGCTAACAGCCATTGATGGACCTAGTTCATTAGGGATTTTAGGGGCCTAGCTGGTGACACCTTATGGGGGAACTGAGTCACCAGGGATAGGCGCTCAGCATTTCCTCGGAATCGGGACCCTTTAAAGCAGGGGCGGGGAACCGTTTTTAGGTGGGGGGGTCACTGACCCATCGAAAAAAAATCAGTCAGAGCGGCCACACATAAGTGAGAAGTATTCTCAAGTAAGGCCTCCAAAAATCAAAGAGGACACATTCACCGGCCACTATAAGCAGATTAAAAATCAGAATTTCCCTCCCTACAGAAGTGTCTGACAGGCCGATTTCCGGTTCGGTTTGGAAATAGGACAAAATAAATCAAAACGTCAGGGCTGGGGTTTTGGAGCTTTTTTAAATGGATGGAACGGACAGTTTAAACAAATGATTTTAACCATAAATGTTTCGTTTTGGGTTAGTTCAGCATCGACCTGCGTGCAGTGGTACCTCATAGGAGTTGTTCAGGCACCTCTATTCTCCCCTGAGTTGGGCACTTTGAGAGGACTACATCTCCCACAATGCACCCAAGTGGCTCAGGGAAGGGTAGTCCATCTGAGGGGCCCAGCTCATAGGAGGACATGTGGGTGCGCGGCCTCCAAACTACATCTCCCATGAGGCACTGCAGCAACGTGGGCAAATGAACGGTGATTAATATTGAACGGATCCAAAATATTTAGGTTCAACCAACAATTGGCCTGAGCCAAGAAATTTTGTTTAGCTATTCCCTAAGGGAAAATGATTTATCTTGCTGGAGCACCCAAAATCATGCTCCAGGCCCCCATGATGCTAGAAGATGATCGTTATTTATCCTAAGAGCTTCATCACGCCCCAGGTCTCCACTAAGCCAAGCGCACTACAGACACAGAACAGAGACAGCTCCTGCCCAAGGAGCTCACAGCCTTAGTTACAGCATTGGATCATCAGGTTAGGGAAGATGGAGGATGTTTGCCAGAAGCACAAATGGGAGGTAGGCACCCAACTCCCCTAAGTTCCTGTGGATGTTAATATTACCAGTCATTCTCCCTCCGCTTCACTGGTGTTCAGCTGACCAGACATGCGCCTCTGCTTTTCCCTTCTTCCCTGACCTTGGCTTTCTTAGGCTCCGTCTATACTGCACCTCTCTTCGGCAAAAGCGTATGCAAATGACGTGTGGATTAGCATATCTCTGTGCTTCATTTGCATACTTAATTAGGGGCCACTTTTGTGCAAGAGGCTTTTGAGCAAAAAGGAGCTGTGTAGACGGCTCCTTTTTTGCACAAAAAAAACCCTCTTGTGCAAGAGCCGTTCTTCCTGTAAACATGAGGAAGAACGGCTCTTGTGCAAGAAAGTCCCTAATTCATTTCGGTGCAAAAATGGTCCCTCATTAATTATGCAAATGAAGCACCGCAATATGCTAATCTGTGCTTCATTTGCATAAGGTTTTCCCGCAGAGAGGTGCAGTAGAGACGTAGCCTTAGTTATAATTTTTTAAGCTTTTTATCATGCCTTTGGTATCAGAGAGATGCAGTATAGACGTAGCCTTAGTTCTAATTTTTTAAGCTTTTTATCATGCCTTTGGTATGTTATCTGTAGTCCAGTGCAATTTCTTGTACCTAAGGCCATGAGGCCCCATTTTGCTTAGAAATTATATGGCTTATAAATATGCATGTTACCTGTGGAATATGCATGAGGTGTGAATGAGAAATATTCAGCCAAAAGGCGGGTTAGGATCCGTGACCTTTTAAGGCCCAAGCTGCTAAATCAACTGAGAAGCGGCCAGAAACTCTCTCTCTCTCTCTCGGACAAAATGTAACATCACAGAAGAAACCTGGGACCGGCCCAGAGGAAGCAAAGCCTCCTGCAGATCCGAAGGGATCTCCCAAGGAACATCATGGATGAGTCTGCAGGAAGTTGATGCCTGGCCAGCACTCCAGCCACCAGGGAGTAATCAACGCTACACTTGCAGCCTGCCTCCAAACTGTCAGCATGACTGTGGGGTGTGTGTGTGTGAGAGTATCACTTTACTTTTGAGACTCTGTGCCAATAAACAACCCAAAAGCCATTCAGCTCCGGCCCACCCTTCGTCTGGGTTTGTTCCTCAGCAACTTTGAGGAAGTGCAACAGGTAGGAGCCAGGCTGCCCCGGGGCTGACCTTGTTCTTTCAGCTTCAGCGAGATTGTCAAACAAAGCAATACAGGAAATGGAGGTGAGAAACGGTCCCTAGATGAACGCTTCACAGGACACACCAAATCTGAGGTAGGACAGAGACAGGATGTGGCGCGGCATGCGTTGTTATCCCTTGGACACTAGTACCGAGTGACTCCTGGTGAGAACTCATTGCTCAAAGGGCTGATTATATCCCTCCAGTTGCAGACAGAGGCGACCGAGGCCCTGAGAGATGCAGCGATTTGGTCACAGTCTCACACACAGAATCTGGGGGAGAGTTAGGAACTGGATCCAGTTCTCCTGGGTCCTAGCCCAGTGCAGCAACTGTGAGTGGTTGCTTAGTGCTGCTGCTAGGACAGTGGACACCAACCAGTCGATCGGGATCTACTGGTCGATCTTGGAGCCTCTCACAGGGGATCCTGACTGGTTTGGCCAAGAGGCTGTCAAGCGCCGGCACTTCAGCGGCTTCTTCTGCCACTGCTGCGCATTTCCTACCCTTTGCCTTGGAGCAAACCCCTCAGGAGCCTCCTGTTTGCTGTGCAAGGCAGGGGAGGAAGAGGAGGAGGCGCTGATGTCAAGGTGCCCCCCTCTCCCACTCTGTATCCTATCTCCACAGTGCAGACAGGGGCCACAACAAGACTTGGGAAGGAGTTTGCTGGCTGCTTTTGGGTGTGGTGCAGGGCCAGGGCAAGGGCGAGCCTGTCTTAATCCCATTGCACCACCACCCAGGAGCCACCTGATGGAAACAGTGCCCTGCTGGAGCTCACATCCTGAAACCCTACCCCAGTCATGAACCCAAGTCCCTGCCCTAGCCCCGAACAGCCCCACATCGTAGAATCATAGAACACTAGAACTGGAAGGGACCTCGAGAGGTCATCAAGTCCCATCCCCTGCCCTCACGGCAGGACCCAGCACCATCTAGACCATCCCTGACAGGGGTCTGTCCAACCTGCTCTTAAATATCTCTAGGGATGGAGATTCCATAACCCCCCTGAGCAATTTATTCCAGTGTTTCACCAGCCCGACAGTTAGGAAGTTTTCCCTAATGTCCCACCTAAACCTCCCTTGCTGCAATTTAAGCCCATTGCTTCTTGTTCTATCCCCAGAGGCCAAGGAGAACAATTTTTCTCCACCTTCCTTGTAACACCCTTTTAGATACTTGAAAACTGCTATCAGTGGCCAGACCCATTTCCTCACATCAAATTTTGGAAGAGAATTGGCATGAATTTGATCTGAGGAAGTGGGTCTGGCCCACGAAAGCTCATCAAGGCCTAATAAACCATCTTGTTAGTCTTTAAAAGTGCTGCATAGTCCTGTCTTTTGTTTCAGCAAGATCAGCTTAATTCGGCGACATCTCTATTACTATTCCCTGCGGGGTGGTTCACGTTGAATACCTACAGGGCAGCCAGGCAGGCTCCATTGGGTTGCTTTCTACACCAAGATGTCGGGGATCCTAGCCCCAAACAGCTCATTGCGGGAATTCTCTTCTTCTGCTCCATACAAACTCGGCAAGAAACAGAGCCGAGCCCTCCAGGCCGTAGGGCTGGGCCTTGAGAGACACAACGGAGCAAGAACGGTGCTGGGTTGGCCAATAAACCCCATCCCCACCCACAGCCTGTCTGGAGTGTAGCACGGACCAGTTCCAGCACCACGGCTCTGATATGTCGATCCTCCTCATCCCCCCCCTTCCTTTGCTGTCCTCCATCGCACCCATACGAACATCCTCCTAGCTAGAGCACGCTTGGTAAGCCCCACAGCATTGAAACATCTCATGGTCTTTCCTGTATCCATCCTCCCCCGGACTGGCAGTGCTTTTATCCCCATGTCACAGCTGGGCAAACCGAGGCCCGGAGCAAAGACGAGAGTTCTCCAGGGGAACACAAAAGAGTTGGCCGGCAGAGCAAAGATTCAAACCAATTCACCCACCTCCCAGGCCAGAGCCTGCATCACAAGAAGCATCCGTGGCCTGTTTCCCAGCCAGCCTCAGACCGCCCCCCTCCCTCTCTCCGAAAGCACAATCTGGAATGACTGTGAGGGAAGGGAGAGGCCCTGCAGAGACTTCGGAGCGATACCTTGGATCCTGTTTGCCGCCAGGCACCTGGTGGTTCCCATCTTGGATCGGAGATTCAGCACCGTGTAACCTGCCTCATCCTGCATCCTCTGCAGTCGCTGTTCTTGCCTCCCAGCAAATGGGAAGGGGCTGGGGGGAATCAGAGACAGACCGAGAGACCCAGGGACGGGTTGCCTGAGATCCGGACCGTTTGGCTTGTAGGGCACCAACGTGCGGAGGAAACGGACGCCTCCCAGGCCAGCCCGCTTGGAAACCACACAGGAAACGTCAGGCCTCGCACAGCAAGCTGGCATGGGTCCAAACTGGAGCAGGGCGGGGCCCTACCTTGGGCCTTGTGTCCTATGCAAAAATCAGCCTCAAAGCTCTCCTGATGCCTCATGGCACTGTTTCCC